TGTTTAAAATGTTCAGCACAGCTCTTTTTTAGCAGACAACAAAGTGAACTCTCAGTGGAAGGCTGGCCATGTTTTGCCAACAACAAATACCTAATTTAATTTCCAGCATTTGCAAGTTGGGCTGGAAAAATCCTTTTTGACAGCTTAAGAAAGTCACTGGCAATCTGGATTAGCAATATAGGGTTGGTCACACTCATGAATGAGGTTCAAGCCTTGTACTTAGCTATAATATGGTTTGGTTGGTTTGGGCTCAGCATCTTCTGTGAACCCAGAAAATTGTTCCTATGGAAGGAGGTGTGTTCTAAGTATGTCAACTTGCTTCTATTAACTTAACCATAATGCTTGAAGAGAATGGGATGGCTTTGGGGACCTTTTCCTCCAGTTTGATGCCAGCAAATGCAGAGAGAAGATGACTAGTATGGTGGAATACCCCCCCACCCCACCCCCCTATAGAGATTAAGGTAGCCTTGATGGTCTTCAGAAGGTGGCTACTTATTGCAACATCTTTTACTTTTTATTCTTCTGTTAGATATTGTTAATTATATGATTTGAGTTTTCTTTTAATTATGCCATGAATACTTTATTTATTTTGGATATCTTGTAAACTGCTGAGAGTCATGAGATCATGGTGGGATGTCCATTAAACAAACAAAGAAGTAATAAAAGCTTTCTCCATAACAGCCCCATGGCACCAGTTCTGAAGTTAAACAGCCTGCAATGATCGTCAAGCTCCTGGATTGAACTCAACTAATAGCAGACTTTGGAGAAGGACCTTGACTTTTCAAAATTCCCCAACTTTGGGAAAGGCTGCTGAGAAAGCATTGTATAACTATCTTTCATGTGCTGAATGAGTATTTGAATGGTCAAACTGAATACATCTCAGCATGAAATCTACTTGTCCATCTGATCCCCTCTTCTGTGTGACCCAACTGGATTCAAATGCAGGTTGGGTCCTAGGCCAGCAGTTCCTTGGTTCTATTAAAGCTGTCCCAACATTTCTCTGCTTATTCTTTTCCAACATTATTCATTTCTGAGAAACGGTCATCAGCCAAAGACAAGTACAAATTGCTATTGCAGTTTGGGGTCAAGCGCTTCTTGAACAGACTTGCATCAGGGCAGGAGTGCCTGTGTGTGTGTTAAAAAAAAAAAATTAGGATGGCAGCCATGAATGTACAATCGAAGCCCTACTCTGTTTTCTATGGGCATCGTACATGTGACACTCCAAGGGTGGAGCTTCAATCACATAGTCACAGTCAGACTTTTTAACATCCCCCACCCCCAGGACACCCCTGCAACAGGCTATTATGTATGAAATCAGTGCAATGATTGATTTTTTTCTGATTCCTTGCCAGCGTAACTATTCCATATCCTGTTGTCTTCTGTTGTTTGAAAGACATGTTCATGAAGGCTGCAGACTCAAGTATTCTAGCTTAGAACAAGTCCTCAGAAATCACTGGGACTTTCTGTACAGGGGATGGAGATAGGATACCTCTCTGATATTTCTCTATTGAACTGATCTGATTTCTTCTTTTCCTTTCAAATCCCCCCTCAACTATGATGTTTTTGGTACAATCCTCTAATCCTCATTCATTCTTTTCCAAAATAGGATTGAAACTCCCTTTTTGCTACGGCTCTAGGTTGAATCTTTGAATGTGAGCAGCTTGGGATAGGAGCTTGTCTTTTTACTGTTAATGTGTAAAATGTTATACTAGATATTCCTAATATCTCAAACACAGAGAGAACTGTGCAAAGCATCACATTTGCATCAATGTCAACTCAATTGCTGTCACATTTTCCTCGCCTTCTTCATTTACTTCATGCCTACTTTATATTTTATAATTTTAAGGATACCGTCACCCAACACACTTAACACAGTTACTGAAACGGCCCACTTTTGATCTTTTCTACAATTACGACATTATATTTGGCCATAATATATTATTTTATTATACATTATTTATGCTAACTGCCTCCAGTGGCTTTGCTGGGTACTTAGCAGGCTGAATGGGTAAAATAAGGCAAGATAATTGAGATAAATTTGCCAAATCTGAAATTTGTTCCATTATTATCTTAAACCTGAGCAGAAAGACTATGTTTGAAAAGTAAAATGTTAGAGCAAAATAAAAATTCTAGCTTATTTTTATGTTCCTCTAACATTTTACTTTTCAAACATAGTCAACAGTACTCTCAACAGTAGCAGTGGGAGAAGTAGAGCTTCAGGTTATTGAGCTAGGTCAAATTTGTCCCAGAGTTGGGTTGGGTGGCCTCCCAATCCTTCCAAAACAGATGAATGAATCAGGATCCAAAGCCAGTCTCCTGACCTGCATGGTTCTGTGATCCATCTGTAATCCATTGAATCAGAGAGCTGATGAAGCCAAGAGCTTTTAAGAGCTTCATCAACCAAGGGTTATAGCTGCTCTTTTGGGTCTCAGATGCCAAATGAAAACTATGATTTAAGAAACTGTCAGGTTCCACTGAATATTATACTGTCTACATAATTCCACTGTTTGATTGTGTTTTCTAATATGAATGGAATTAAATGACCTAAATGTGCTGCTTGATAATGCATTTTTAAAATTGAGACCCCTCCTCCAACCTCTCTGTTTCAGTGGCCATATAAAATCCACCTACTGATTATCAATTTCTTAGAATTAAAGCTAAAACTATCTTCTGCTATATCATTAATACTCTATCTGGAATTGCTAGCAGGGGGAATTGAAATAAAAAGTTAATTTTTGAAAGCATTTTCATTTTAACACCCTCTATCCGACCTGAAATATTCAAATGTCATTTAGTTCAAATTTCATTCCTTTCTTTCTTTTATTCCCAGTTGGTTTAAATTATTGAATAATTAAAAATATATTTTTAATAATGTTGATCCCTAAATATTTCAGGGATTTGGGGTGTAGTCAAAAAGTCAAGATGGTGACTGTGATCAAAGCTCTGCATTTTTTAAAAGTAATATTTATTTATTTATTTATTAGGCCACCCTATACCTTTGTGAAGCTTCAATTGAACCATCATGTTCAACATCTTGACTTTTTGACCATATTCTGCAGATACCCTGTAGGAATTTGTTGGCAACTGAGATTCCTAAATCATTAGACACCTCTCTGTGAATGATGGGAGAAATATGGAAAAACATCATATGCAATTTTTGAAAATTCACTCTGCTCCTAAACAAATTTGGCTGCACAGCTAGAGTTCAACAATGCAAATACCGCATCATCTGCCAATAAGCTTAGTAGACACCAATTATTCCCAAGTTTTACCGCTTGAATGTGTTTGTTAATATGCAGTGCAATTACTAAAGCTTCTAAAGACAAATGAAATAAAAGAGGTGATGGGAGCATCCTTGTTTAGTGGCTTTCAAAATTACAGTGGGATCTAAACTCTGATTGTTGAGCCTTATCTGCACTTTAGTAGAAGTGTAAGTCTGGTCAATCATATTGAGAAAATAGTGCCCACATTTTAATTTCATTAGTACCTGCTTTAGAAAGGTCACCGCAACATATCCATACCAACTGTGGATAAGCCATCCCTAAAATTTTCATGTTTTAATTTTTAAAATTGGCTTCTTCCTGGGTGGCACATTTTTCATGGTATTTTGGTTGAAAATTTGAGGGTCGACTTGGATGAGCCTATCAGCAAGTATATATGGGATATAACTGGTAGTCTAAAAAAGCTGATTTTTAATCAAAATACCATGAAAAATGTGCCCCCCATGGATAAGCTGACCCTAGAAATTTTCATATGTTTTAATTTTCAAAATTGGCTTCTGCACGAGTGGCACATTTTTCATAACATTTTGGTTAAAAGTCCGAGAGTCAACTTATCCGTGGATGGGCTTATCCACAAGCATATACAGGTACTTTAAAAAAGTATTACTATATATATTTGTGATCCACGGTTAAGCCAAACCCAATTTTTGTGTGCATTTTTGAACCTAATATTCT